CCCATATGACAAAAAAATCCCTCTCTATAAATACACATTGTGGAAAATTACTTCATGCCTGTTTTATTTTGTACAACGTTAACGTACAGCCCAAGGAGAAGTGCAACTTTCTCAAGCAATACCTGGTGTCTGTAGCTTTGCATGATGGGGGTGTATTCCGTGGATGCTTAATCAGGACGTATTTATGCGATAATTTCCTCAAATTATGAGAGAAACCATATTCTCATTCTGTGAAGTAACATTGAGCTTTTGTCTACTTTTACATGTCACGTCTTTTGGGTAGCTGGCGAAAAAAAGGATTACGGACTCAAATAATTGGACAAAACCGCTATGTCCGTTCAATATCTGACCAAGTGCAATAACCGTCCTAGATCATACTAGCTCTCTGCCACTCAGTAAATAAACAACAACTCTGCTGCGCACTCGGGACTCTCAATGGTTCATGTAAGTGGACATCTCGCAATTTACGCTGATGTGTGTGTGCAAAGTTTTCGCTCGAGTCCGAGCGGATTCGGTCGCAGTGAATCTGGTGTTAGTGTGTAATTCCGCGTACATGGATTTCTCGCTGGTGTTGTCGATTGAGCACGTAATTTTTGCACTAGCGCGCACGTGAAATTCTTGCCGATGTGGATTAACGTACGTGAAGCTCGTGCTGATGGTGCACACGTGTCGTACTCACTCGTGACAGTATCCGTGAAGTTATCTGGAGTTCTCGCTGCTTATGGCGTAACTGGAGCTCGAGCTGGCGATTTGTTTACGTGAACTCTACATTTTGCTCGAGTTGGCGCAACGGTTTTGTCTGGTATAAGATCATGTAAAGCTCGCACTGGTGTTAGTGTTGACGATCGTGACGTTTGTTGTGGTGTTGAGATACTCGTTGGTGCCAGGATGAGAGAATTTGCCATTGCAGATAATGCTCGTGTAGTTCACATTAGTGCAGGTGTACAAGGGTTCTTACTATTGATGGCTCACGCGCAAGCAAATCTTCAGTTGGTGTAGGCTGAAGTGTAAGTGGTATTGCGCCTCATTGTGGTCAACGGACGTCGAGATCCTGCAGGGTTAGAGACCGCGTCGAGCCGACTAACTTCAAACGAAAGAGGCGGCGGCAACTCGCCCCAACGCCGTGGTCCATTGTCTTTATAGCTATTACAATCTTAAATACTTGAAGAAAGACCTAGTACATGTTTACACAAGAGTACCAAAACCATCGGGAACTGAATTCGCGTTCCCGAAAGCGCAGACACTTAGCCCATACGAGCGAGCCGCGTCTAAGGGTGACAACAAGTTACGGAGGCCAGCGTACATGGTTATTGGAGTATCACCAGGAACGACCGCTTGCATATCTCGACGAGGTCCAAAACGCATGCGTGCACATCATATCCCAATATCGATTACGTCCGGGTGGAGAAAGTCCATGAATTTGGTCTGACATGGAAAATATTAGAACGCCGAGCCATGAGTATTAAGGAACGAGATGATTTTCCATTTTACAGACGAATTAGGCCGCGTTCACAGGGTGTACCAGGCCTGCGACGAGGTGTCGTTTGATGATCGAGTAATGCTGCGAAAGCGCAATTATCCGACCAAGGGACGACAGCATTGCAATTCGTGGCGACTACAAGCGGAAAACCTCGTGTCTCAGCTCTAGTGTTCTGGGTGCAAACGGAGCCATCGATTACTACAATACTGAAGGAACGCTTGATCAAGTTCAGTTTCTGAAGTGTTTGTCGAAGCCTTTCTTACCCAAAAAGAGGTATTACCCTGGACCAAACAACGCTTGGATTCTCGAAGGCGCAGCCATTCCTATGGATCTTGAAATCGTTTACTTTTTGAGGAGCATCGGCGTAGCACCCACTTTCCTACCAGCCTATTCTTCATTCTTTAATCCAATCGAGTGCGAGTTTTTTTTTTAATTTTGTGAAGAAGTCGTTTCAGAGCCATTACCTCGAAACAAGTGGTCGTAATCTCATGCCGTTTGTAGTTGAAGCATTTTCTCGGTTTGAGTCGTTCAACATGACGAGAATATGTTAACACTGTGGTTCGAGTAAACTAGGTCACTTCGGTCCTACGGGCAACTATCACAAAAGAACAAAAGTCGTTGCAGTACGGAAGGACATCTCGAGCAGTCAAACAAACATAGTATGATGATAATTCAGATTTTGTTGATAGGCAGAATGGATCGTAGGTTCTCGAAATCTAATTTACTCGTGATCAACGTCGTTGATATTTTCCAATTGTTCGAGGGGATCCATTAGGCCAGAATGAGGGAGGATATCGTTGATAAACACTTCAAAGACAGCTTTTTGTAGACGCAAAACATTCGTTTTGAGATTCAATTCCACATTCAAATCCTCCCGATCTTGGTGTAGACGCAGGTTTCTAGCCATAGCTGGGTTTACACAATCCAGAGCTAGACTTGCTGACTGATACGTGTTGGATATGTCCTCAGCGGCCTAGAAATGTATATTGGGTGGAGGTGGATTAATAGCAGCATCCCATGTCGACCGATTACCATTTCGTGTTAATGCTTTGCCCAGATTTGCCGGACAACAGACGAGCCGTCAAATGTTGCTTCCCATTGCTGCTGCAGCCTCTTGAGAATTTCCTGAAAAGAGTCTTCTGCAGTCGCACCGGCTCGGTCTGTTGACAGCGGAACAATGCAAACCCGTTTGAAATCTCCCACGTGCAGCCAATGTAGTGATGCAACGCCATATTCATACAGACGTAGCTTGATTGGCTGGCCTCGACCAGACTGAAGCCATGAGTTCAAGACCTGCTCCGAGTTTTTGCTGTCCATAATGTGTCTCTTGGATCTAAACTGCATGACTTGGCCCCAATCCTGCATTTCTAACACCGCGACAGATTACTCGTCCTCACGCTTTACTGTCCCGCCCTATATTCGAGGGCAAACAACTCCGACGCCTTCTTGAGAACATCGCTGAACGACGATCCATTGACCACAACATCGGTCAGCGTCTCGCCAGGCGTATCCCGCCGTCTACTGTCACTCTTGACAATCGGTCGAATGATTAGCTGGTAATGGTGAGAGCTCGTGGTGGGTATGTCTGTTTCGGGTGACATGCTATTATCTT